CTTTTATTACTTTTTTACATACACCGATGACCTTTCTACCCAACGTTACTGTGAAGGTGAAGCCTGGAGCACACAGCAGTGAAATATTGCCACTGCTCCTGAAATCACAAGCCATTATCTGTGCATTACTCATTGGGAATGTCACATTCCCTCTGCAGGCTCCTGCAGCTCAGACATGCTCCCCACTTTTGCTGCGTGCCAAATGGCTCCCTGGGGTATGGCTGGTTGGAGGGCATCGCCCCATTCAGCTGGACTCTAGCACAGCCTGCTTCTCAGTACCTTTGGTGCAATGTGGATACTTGGGAGAGTTTCTCAATATCCTGTTCAAGAATGCTAAGCCTGTCTGGACTGACAACTCTGATACCAGGCAGTTACCTTAACGTCACCTTTACCTGAAGCTGTATTACAGTGAAAGTAATAAAAATACGTAATTACAAATTCCAAAATAGACAAAAAAGTTCACAAAGGCTTCTAAAGATGAGGAGAGGAGAGGAGTGGAGAGGAGAGGAGAGGAGAGGAGAGGATCATTCAGCATGGCACTTCAACGAGCTTTACAGTTTCCCTAGCCATTAGCAGTTCAGCTGAGAAATGGACAGAGCCATCACCACCTTGCTGGTAGTCTGAAAACTTAAAAGTTTTCACACAAGCCCTATATTCTGGGGCTGCCTGTGCAGAAAGACTAGCTTTGGGGACCTCTCTTGCTCTCCATCTTCAGGTCAATTCCAGTTCAGACCTCTACCTTACATATACACATAATCATCAAGATTCATTAACCCTCACAGGAACTAAGGTGATAGCTCTTGGGCCTGGCCCAAACCTGCCAAGAGAGAGTATTCTCATGCCTGGCTTAATGTGTTAGCTCACTGGGAAGCACAATGCCTTTACTCAGTGAGATGGGAAACATTCAGACCCTGAAGGGAAGCTTCTTCATCCACTAAAGTTTATGTATCACATAAAATTGTAAGCTGACAACAGGTTCATGCAGGTATCTAATTAGAATCTAGTGCCTGTAGCTCCTTAGAGGCTTTTGACTGGGCAGACAACATGATAACCAGTCCCATTAGGGTGATAATGGGTTAAACACTATTGTCTCTGAAAAATACCTTAAAAGTACCCAGGGACTTTCTTCTCTCCTCTATGTTGCGTGAGTGTGAACCCCAGCAGCCTCTCTCATCTCACCCCTACAAGGGGCTGCAAATCCATCACGCAGCACATAACACCACTGCTCCACTAAACAATGCATCAACAGAGGCTGCTGATCTGCATCATTGCCTTGGGCATGCAATGGCATCCAGAGTAAACAGGACACCTGGGCAAACATAGGCCTTAACAGAGAGAAGGTGTCTTGGAAGTATAAGAGATGTAACTTAGTGCACTACAGATATTCCTAGTCCTCATAAACTCTTGGTGGCTCTGTACTTCTGCAATTTTGGCTTCCCTGGGAGAAGTTAGAGTTATGAAACTTAAGGAAGTGGAGCAAAAATGATTGTATCCTATGAAGGTTTTGTGACCTGGACACCAAAACACAAAGTAAGCTCCTTTCCATCTTGGTGAGGCTGTCCAACACCTCTCCTCTCATAGGTCAAGTGCATTAAAATACAAGTAGTAACTACAATGGGTAAATAGTAATCAAAACAGTAACTGACTGTACCACTGAAAGATTATAGCAGATGCCTTAGCACAGAGGACAAAGTGCAGAGATGCACTGCAGTTTGGAACAGGAAGTGAAGATTTCATACCCATTGAAACTGGGGGAGGAATTTGACCTGGCACATTCTGCTTGACTTTCATGGAAAGCGGCTCCCTATCACAAAACATCCCACAGAGTTTGTAACACCTACAGATAGTCAAGGTCTGAGTTTTTAGTCTCCTCTGCAAGAGAGAATTGTAGCAGCCAAGTATGGTAAGGATTGAATACTAAGTCAAAACGATCCCCAAAGCTATAGGTATAAAGGAGAGGTTTCTGGCTAGGGGCAGACAGGCAAAACTGCAGTTTCAAATAAATTATTTTTCTTTTAGTTTTTTTGACACTAAAAGCCCTCCATCCTCATGGAGTTCGGGGGGGGGGGGGGGGGACGACCCAAACAAAACCTTAGATTTAAGAAAGCTCTTCCTGTAACAGAGAACTACAACACCCACACATCCAACACCTTTTAGCTGCCCATTTTTATTGCATATTCAAATGTAACAGCACCATCTGCAGGATTTGAGAGTGGGAGCACAGACGCCTTACTCTGGTCAGCAGAACATCTTCCAGGCATCTGGAAAGGTTTTCCTGAGAAGCCTTCAGCCAGGGAAATCTGATCAGCCACGGGCCTCTGGGATAACACCGGGAGGACTGCAATGCTTCATGGAGCTCTGGCACAGCACAGGGGTTTTTCAAGAGAAAGCCTGAATAGGTTGGTTGTGAGATTCTTCTCACTGAGGGGGTTTGGTATAGTGACAGCAGCAGTTCTGTGCAGGCATGAGCAGTGTGACACGTTGAGGAGCACAGGGCATGCCTTTTTTTGTCACCTGTCCTATATGTCAGTCAGCATTCAGCTCACTTATTGGCAAATACCTCGTTAGGAGCCTATTAAATTAAAACTGAAGAAATTTTTAATTCCTTCACTGCAATGACTGTCATTCTTGGTGTGAGTTATCACAAGGTTCCTCATTACACAGTGAAATTTCACACTGTCAAATGTACTTTCAGATTTATTCCTAAAAATCCACAGCTTGTTTTGGGAGATGGACAATAGTCTATAGTATAAGCTCCACCTTGTACAGCTTCTGTGTGACTATAGGAGAAACATGCTGAAGCAGTGCCCTCTTCTGGACGCAGAACCGTTCGACCACATTAACAGGACAGGACCACATTAATTAACAGGACAGGCCTTAAGGGCAAAATTAGCAGTCTCTGCAACTATTTTCTGTCTGTAAATTTGGCGCTATGGTGTGAAATCCTAGTACTGGCCAAGCATCCAACAGCTGACATCAGCCAGCGACTGAGCCACTGGCATTTAGGAGAATTCTAAGCCTTTTACTCACAGGCCACTTCCGATGAATAAAATGTCAGTGTGAGAGGGGTCTGGTTTCTTTTACCAATTCATCAATGAAAGAAAAATCTCAATGCATTTATTAGCATAGCTTAAACTTTATACTGAGTTATATCAGCATGCATCCAACTGTGCGTGCTTGCAGAAACCTTATTTTTCTAGCTAGATCTATATTTTCTATGGGGTTTTTTTTTAAGACCAGCTTGAAAGGTAATTTTACCACTCTACTGTCAAGAATGTAATGCTGATGAACAGAGAAACCAACAGTCCCTAGAGTATCACGATTCAGATTCCTTCCAGAAGCACATTTAAAAGTTATTACAATGAAACAACGAATCATGAGAAAAGCCTGAGGGGCCGTGACCATTGTAACTGTAAGCAGACATGTTTTTCTTTCCCAGTCTCACAGTAAATAGACATGGAAGCGTTCCAAGAGGCTCTCTGATTGTTTTTTGCTTTGGCTGCATGTCATGTTGCTGGAACAGTTGCGGAAAACTCAGGAGAGACGCTTTTCTCTCAGAATCGGTGCCAGCTCTGCCAGACCCAGTGACCGTGTGCGTGTAACTCAGTATGTGATGCTCATCCCTCGGTCAGCGCTCAGGCATGCAGTGAGTCAGTGCATTATAGGGACGAAGATGGAAGCCTGCTCTACCTCAGGATCAGTGCTGACCCCTGTGGCCCACACGGTACTGCTACAGGACACTGTGATGAAACATCTGTGCTGGAATGAAGAGGAAGGCCCAAACGTGGCATGACACTACAGAGAATGAGGGTGCGTGGGCTGGCACTGCCTCCGGTCAGTGTTGGCTCCCACCCCACAGGCCTGAGCTAACCACAGGCAGTCCCCGTCCCCCCCCCAAACCTCCAATCTCTGGGGTTCCCCGGGGCACCTGTCGTTCCTCTCCAACACCGCCATGTTTCTCTCTCACAAGCACAGATTAAGGCGGCCAGGAATCCAGTTTGCAAAAGCACGCCCGAGGGGAACGTGACTGAGGGGACAGAGATCGTGAAGGCAGTGAATAAGGTGACAGCGCATCTGCCACTCACCGGTCACCCCAGCACCAGGCGCAGTGAGTGAACTTAGCAGGGGACCAGCTTTAACCACAGACAAGACAGCTCCTCACAGAGCAGGCAGCGAGCTCCTGGTGCGGTGGCCAGAGGTGCCTGTGGGGGTGGAACAGGCTCCACAGGGCCGAGTGACCAGGCAAGCACACAGACAAAGGATCAGACAGACGTACCGCGACCAGGGCAGATCCACCTCCTACGCCCGCTGAGGGAGAAGGCTGCTCAGCACACAGGACACCTCACCAGA